TTACGCAGCTCATTTACACACTTTTCCTGAAGATAGAAGAGTTTGTTGAATCTGACGTGACATGTTCGTACGAACCCTTTGTACGAACGAAAGTAAGAGAAATTTAGGATAAGAATACGAACATGTTCTTGCATGAGGCCCATTGAGACTGTGCTTTAGGTGTTACCTTACCTGCACCGCCTTTCATTCTTATTTATTTACTTAACCGTTATTTAAACCAGGCAAACCCCAGCCCTTATCTAGGGAGGCAGACTAAACATGCATGTTTTTGACTCTGGGAGGAAATTGAGAAGAACATTTTGCTTTTATTTGCTGCACATATGACGATGTGTTACTGACACGTCGGCAACAAAAGTGACAGAAGTTTTTCTCACTGTGAGTTCCACAGAAACAAACTAAAACTACATAAATCAACATTTGGTGCGAAATTAACATATTTTTTTAAAGTTAAAAAGTCACATTTTGGGTTTTACTGATTATTACATCATTATTTTTACTTAATAAATCAATAAAAGGGTCATGCACACTTTTCCCCATGATTAGGGGATTATTAGTATTTTTTTTTCTGGCATTCCTACATTCTTCTTGTGAAGGCAGCGTCTCTTGTAAATCACTTTTTTTTTCTTCAGAGACGCCAAAACCACCAAGAGAGATTATAAATATTTAACACAACGTGCAAGTTTCAGCCTAATTTGTTTCTGKTATTAGTAGTTGTTAGTTACCTAATGATTGTAGCACAAACTATAAAGTTAGAGTGCTTTTGCTATTTATCTACTTAATGATACAATCTGCGAATCCTCTCTGAAATGTACAAAATGTGCAGCCAGGATTAAACTCCATTACACTTGTCATGTTAGATTTACTGTTGCAGATTTACAATACTGTCAGATTGATGGAGATAAGGATGTGTCCGAAAGGAGCTTAATTATTAATATAAACAGTAACATATGAGAACATTCTGCAACCAATCTTAGACATTCTTTACTGCCAGTTATCTTAAGAAGTCACTTATTTTACTTAAGTCTTMCTTTGTGCAAACCAAGTGCCACGTAGTGACTCAGTAAATGTACGCTTTATGCAAAAGGTCTCTGCAGCACAACAAYGACTTTAAACTCTGCAAAAAGGTCAAGGATTAAGTACAGATTAAATACAGATTAGGGCTCTATTTCTTCGTAATTTAAAACTTACTATGCAAGCCCGTTTTGCATTTGTAACATATTTTATTTATTTCTACTGAGTCCTAAATGCACTACACAAACATTTTTATTCATGTTTAGGTTTTTTATGAGTTTGTGATCTTCTAGTCTAAATTAAACATTTTTACAGATCTTTTTAGAAGGTTTTTAATTTATTATTAAGTCTATTTAGTTAATAAACACATCACACTAAAACAACAAACACACACCTAATGATTAGTTTTGTAGCGTTACGATCAGAGAGGGAACTTCCCTATTTACCATGATATCATATCCAGAGGAGTGACTTGACTCTACTACCCCTATCCAGCATGTTTTACTTGTTTCCCTGCTATTCAGCAGGTCTTCAAAAGATTATTAATCACTCATTCATTCAAACAAACCAGGTGTGTCAAATCAGGGAGGGCTAGGGTTGAGAATCACTGCTTTAATACATATTATCTGATTTATTATTTACAAATAAATGGCAAAGAATCAACGGCTTCCAGAGGCAATACTAAAAAAACATAAAACTAAGTCAATATTATATTTTGAAAATGTCTCATCAAGCTCAGAGAAGCTCTTGAGGTGTTGGTTAATATTTAAAGCAGTGATTTTGAGATGTTTCCCTGATTTGACACACCTGGTTTGAATGAATGAGTGATTAAATCTTCTGAAGACCTGCTGAAGAGCAGGGAAACAAGCAAAACATGCTGGATAGGGGTACTTGAGGACCAGGATGAACGGCCCAGGCCTGGAGAGCTTGTGGTAAATGTAGCATGGGCAAATAAATATTCAAATCTTAAACTTCTCTGCATAATTTGTGTTTTCAAGTGAACACATTTCTTTCACATTGATTGGGAGGAAATCATTAAAAACCATCTCAAAATTGRTTTAGCATCATGTAAGTGTGACTCAGCATCTCATTGCAGACCTTTAGTATGACATAGCATCTTGTAACTACAACTTACCGTCTTATAACTATGACTTAGCATTTTATAACCATGACTTTGCATCTTATGTTGTGATATGTTATGAAAAAAGTTTCAAAATTTTATTATTAATGMGGTCAGCAAGACATTTTTTCAGTATCTTCACTAATAACTTTGTTTCTTTGAACATTTTCCACAATGCAGCAAATTCTATCATTAAGTGAAAAACTGATTTGAAAATAAATACATTAAAAATAGTGGCAGGAAAAGGCAGAAGTATTCCTGAAGCAGCTCTTTGAATTATGCTGTTTAGCACAATTATTTACAAAGAAGTATTCTCGARGAGGTAAACCGTGCAAATGAGAGACAAATAGCCCCCTCTTTTTTTTTTCTTTAGTCTCAGCTAATTGATGAAAGTTGTTAAATTTTACCAATTTACCCCGCTGCATGTCAAAGACCACATGTGCCCTGGAGTTGTGAAAAAAAGGCTAAATTATTGACTGTTTTTGGTATTTCAACAACCTTTTTTTTTACTTCATCCAAAGTTCCCAAATATCCTTAAATAGTCTTATTTGCAAATGAGCAGTTTTGCTAATGATTTGTCTGATTTGTTAGTTTTTTACAGTCAAATTCTTGGCACACACAAGAGTGTGTGCACTGTGCTTTTTATTATTATTTTTTTATTCTCTGCTAGTTTATTTTTATTTGAGGTATAATTTTATCAAAACAAAAATAATGTTTCTGCAAATTTATGTTTAAAAAGTTGAGCCATCTGAAGCACAAGCTCCAACTTCTAACCTATTGGCACCAGAGCTTTGTTTAACAATTTAGCATTAGCTGTTGGATTCAACGCCTGTTAGCAAAATAACTCATTTCCACTGAATGAATTAATTGAAACCCAGTAATCAGTGGCTTTAAAGGTACAATTGATTTAACTTTTCAAGTCAGCCCCATTCAAGATGGTTGAATTGGCCTTGGAACAAACATCTCCTTAACAATTCAAATACATTTTACAGATACTGAACTAACATTTGGTGTTGTAAACTAAAAATAAACTCCTTATGCCAGTGTTCCTGTTGTAGAATTAGTTGTAAAAATATTTACAACATGTAAAAAGATATGCAAATTTCTGCTTTGCCTGCAAAATTCCCGGTAGTTTCTGTTTGCACACCCAGACTTCAGTAACGCATCTTCAAAGAGGAGGAATTTTCTGCATCGCTGTAAAAGTGTTTGTACAGGCTGATAAATGTTATGTTTGCCCTCTGGCTGTGACGTCAGTGTAAGTCTGCGTAGCCAGCTTCACCAAGGGGGATATACCAGTGGCAGTGACAATAGTAGAGCTCAAGCATTCCTCATTACTGCCCCTCTGTTGCACGCACCAAAGAGCACGCTCTGCAGCACAAATCTGTTTTTGTCCTGCCAGGATTTCAGCTGCCTTTTCGTAAAGGAAATGTAAACAGTTTATTTAACGAAAAAGGTCATCGTGACGCGCTACATAAAAAAAACAAACATACATTTTACAGTGTGTTTTATATTTCTGCAGTCATCCCACGCTTTGGAGACCAGAATATGGCAGCTACATGATCGAGGGAACTCCAGGGCAGCCGTACGGTGGGACGATGTCGGAGTTCAACACTGTGGAGAGCAACATGAGGAAGAGACGTCAGGAGGCGTCATCGGTCCTGAACCAGAATGAGACCCTCTGCACCATCACCTCATTTCCAAGGTAATTCAGTTTGGCGATCAAATGTTTCAACCAATTTACCGCCTTGTTATAAAGAAAACAATGAATAAACCTACTTTTGTTCAGGTTAGGTTGCCCAGGTTTCACCCAACCAGAGTATCGGCCGACTCCTGTTGAAAAAGGAGTTTCAAAGTCGCTGTTTTTCCCTGATGAAGCCATCAACAGACACCCAAGATTCAGGTAGGCTGTATAAGTTTGCATCTTTTAATTCACTGCCTGGCCAAAAAAAAATAAAGTGTGCACCTGGATTAACTAAGATCTATGATCTGGGGTTGCTGCATTTGGTCAGGTCTAGGTTCAGCAACAGTATGTGCACAAAGAATGAGGTCAGCTGAATATACTGAATAACCAGGTTATTCCCTGATGGCACGAGCATATTCCAAGATGATAATGCCAGGATTCATCAGGCTGGAATTGTAACAGAGTGGTTCAGGGAGCGTGAGACACATGCATCAGCTCCACAGAGTCCATTGAGAATCTTTGGGATGGAGGACCTCAGTTTAGTTTGTTAGCTTGCCGTGCTAGCGCCGAGATAATACATATAAGGTAATATAGCTTCGGCGCTAAAGCTAACAGGCTAAGCTGAGGTTCTTCTTCCATGAAGCAGCTCTGTTGTCCTCCATCTATACTTTTAGTTACAGGCTGAGTCATTTCTACCTTCTCCTCTCTGTCAACGCTCTCTGGTTTCATTTAAAAGAGTCAATCATCAAATATTGTCCAAGATTAACCTTCAGGGTGGATATAGCTCACTAGCAGCCTCGCACCGAAGACCTGTCGACATCATCATTTACTCAGTATGCTTTCCATGTAAATAAAATGACTCAGTCCATGTTCAAATACATTTTTAAAAATTACAAAACTGAACAGCCTACAGTATTTTTACAGTCTTTATTTTACAGTTAAAATAAATGTTTATCAAATAAAGTCTAATGTTACAACTAATAGTGGATCCCTTTAATGCAACACTGGATGGAAATAAATCTCGTGACATTGCAGAAGCTTGTTGAAACAATTCCACAGAAGCTAAAGGCAGTCCAAAATATAAGTGTGTGTGATATTTTATTTTTTTTTTGGCCAGGCAGTGTATTTCAAGTCTAATATTACTTATGTGTATGATTTGTGGCTACAAGGTCTTCATAAGGAGAATCTTCTTGTTTTCTGTTTTTCAGCACTCTCACAAGAAACATACGGCATCGACGAGGCGAGAAAGTTGTTATAAATGTGCCAAGTAAGTTAGATTTTTAACAAAACAAATGTCCTCGTGTGAACGCTGAGTCAGCATGCTTTGTGCTATGTTAACCATTTATAGAGTAAAAATGTTCAGCCCAATCCGGTATAGTGTGCTTTAGTATTTATAACTTTTATACTTTTTGAAGATGTCCTTAATAAAAAGACCTTTTCAGCTCGTTCAAAAACATGTCTTTTCTTGATTCAGTCTTCCCAGATGAGCGCACACCTTCTCCGTTTGTGGAGAATTTCCCCGAGGACGACGGCGAAGCAGCGAGAGCGGCTCTGCCCGACCACATCTACATGGACAGCATGGGCTTCGGCATGGGCAACTGCTGCCTGCAGGTAAGAGATGATCCGACCTGAGCGGCGCCACGTCTTAAAGCTTTTGATTTTTATTCGCTGACATAAATGAGAACCTTGATCTTTGTGTGACTGTAGCTGTGCGGTTCTAATAAGTGATGTATAAATGCACTTCAGCCTCCTTCATTGTGCTTTTTKCAGGTGACATTCCAGGCGTGCAGCATCAATGAGGCGAGGTATCTCTATGACCAACTAGCAACATTTTGCCCCATTGTGGTGAGTGTCCGCAAAAAAATCTGTTTCATATTACGTTGTGTTCATTTGGCTTTTTTTTTCAGCAGAAATAATACAACTTATGAATCTTTTTTTAATAAGTCTGTGGTATTTTATTCAAGATTTATTTAATGTAGCAGCTAAAACAGGTTTAATCCATCATCAAAGTTAGGAGAGTCTGCCTTTGGAGTAAAACAAGCGACAGAGAGATTATTTTTTTAACCTTAAGCTTATTGTAGTTTATAAAGCTGTAGTGCTGGGCGGTAWACCGTTTTGTACCGAAAACCATTTTTTATTTTTGTTATGATATGACTTTTCTGAATACCAGTGTTAATAGCCTGAACACGTGCAGAACGTTTCGTCGCAGCCGCCAGTGAACTGTTTCCCTGGGAACACATTTCCTTGCAGCACCGCTAAGCGCATTAGCATGCTAATGTTATTGTTGGAACAGCTGGCGGAGGGTGTGTTTCAGCTGCTTATATGGTCTGATGTAAAAAAAAAAAATCCCGTTTTCACCATCGCTGTATAGTAAACAACTCTTCAGTGACATGCACGGTTAGATTAAACGCGCTACGTTATAATGGAGACGTTATTGCATGGAGACTGTAGCGTGCTTCTATTGTGAAAAGCCCGGGGGGGAAAGTAGTTTTATAGTGTAACGGAGTTGACTGGTGTGCAAGGTGAGTCGTCCTTTTAAGTTTTATTAACACGTAACGATAGACCAGATAATGATTTTTTTCTCAACCCTTCATGGTCGGACCTAAATGCATGATTACTGTCTGCAACCAGGCAAAGCTGAAAAGACGTACAAGAGGAGGGAAAMAGTGATACAGAGGTACAGTAAAAGAAAAAAGTCAACAAGCAAAGTTTGTACATTTATTATCAGCTGAGCTGTGAGGGAAAAAAACCTGTCAAATACAGCGAAACCGGTGTAATTGTTGAAAATACCGTGATATAAAATTTGGGTCATACCGCCCAGCTCTATAAAGCTGTTTCTGTTTTATTGTCGGTATCTTTATTTTTGCAGTAGGGAATGTGTTCAGCCAAACTGAAGGTCATGCATCCCTTTTAAAACACCTCATGACTTTGAGTCARCTTGCATCTGTTTAAAATAGTCCCTCTGTTATCTTTTTTTTGTTGTTTTTAATTTACACGTGTTGCTTTACTTATCGTACAAATACTTTTCATTCCTCRCAGATGGCCTTGAGTGCAGCCTCTCCTTTCTACAGAGGCTACGTGTCGGACATCGACTGCCGCTGGGGAGTTATTTCTGCCTCAGTGGACGACAGGACTCCAGAGGAACGTGGACTGAAGGTGAGAGGAGCTGAAATACCACAAAGGATGAAGACGATGTCCGATGCAAAATGTGCTGTTTTTTTTTACCAAGTTAGCTCAACCTGACTGAGTTGATCAAACTTTGTAATTGTCTCAACAATAACAAAAAAACAGATGCTTTAGTTTTCTTATAGTGTTTCAAATTGTTGTAATATTGTTACAGATTGTTTTTATGTAAATCGTATTTGCTGCAGARGCAGAGATGTAGGTTTACCATCACATTTTTAAATGTTCCCAATGTTTTCATTTCTTGACCTTCAAAATAGAAGTAGGTGAAAGAATACAAACAATTCTTAGCTGCTGTTTAACTAAGCGGCTCATCAGCTAAATAAACTAATACAGATCTTAAATTTAAGTTCTGTAGATCTTCTCAAAACACTTGTTTTTCAAAAGCCACAGTGGGGTCCAAACCACAAYCACTGCTCAGGATGAGTGTCGAGTTGAAAGTGTTCCAGTTTTCAGCTTATCAGAACGTCAGAAACAATCCTTTCYATTTGTCGCTCTGACAGAATAATACAACAATAGCATTCTACGCAGCATTTTGAGTGTACAAACAGGGTTAAAAYTTATTGCCTAATAATTGTYATAAACTACTAAAAGTACAACTRACTTAATGTAAAGTAAACAACACAGAACTGCTAAAAACGTAAAAGTAAACAGTTTAACTCTCTGTTGATGCGAGGAGCAGCCCTGCTGAAACATGCTCAGGTATGGTCGTGTTGCGCTGACTTCCCAACTCCAGCTGATGTTTCCAACTTGAAAGTCAGAAATTCCCACCTCCGAGTACAACTGGAACACAGCGTCTCTTCCTCTCTGGTGGAGGAGATGTATGGTGAGGCGGCATCTGTGTTAGAGGTGCCATCTAGAGGAAAACTTTGTCATTACAACTAAATCAGTGCCTCAGACACTTCGATTCATTTTAGTAATTTTCAAAAATTAATCAAAGCTTCTTTGAGTTCTTTTTTTAAGTAAAAGTGATGAAAATGTGAAAACTCACATTTTAGAGGGTCTAGACTTTATTTAAAAAAACAGTTTTTCACAAAACAAATGTAGCCACAAAGACACTGAACACAATCTGGTTTTCCAAACGAAACATATTTAATATATTTTCTGAAATGTTGCACTTTTTTTGCAGCCGTTGAAGAACAACAAATACAGGATTTTCAAGTCCAGATATGACTCGATTGACAGCTACTTGTCCTGCTGTGGTGAGAAGTACAACGATATTGATTTGACGATAGACGAGGATATCTACAAGCAGCTGCTCGGTGCAGGTACAAGTTTGTTGGTTTGTTTGCTTGTTTTTTAAGTTATCATCTACTTCTTTCTGCTCCTGCYAAGATAAAATTCGTCTTGTTTGGTTTGCAGGGATCGACAAACTTCTGGCTCAGCACATAGCTCACCTCTTCATACGAGACCCGCTCTCTGTCTTTGAGGAGAAAATACATTTGGATGATGAAAATGAATCGGATCACTTTGAGGTTAGGGTTTTTGCTTTCCATATTTAAAATTATTTTTTCAAAGCAAATGCAGACATCAAGAAATAAAAGTTTTATTCAAACTCTTTGYAGAATCTTCAATCGACCAATTGGCAGACAATGCGGTTTAAACCCCCGCCTCCGAACTCTGAGATTGGGTGGAGAGTTGAGTTTCGCCCCATGGAGGTACTTATCAAATATTACACTTTTGTTCTGGGCTTGTACTCAGGAACGTTGTGTTGTGAGTTGCTGTTTGTTTTTTTTTGCAGGTGCAGCTAACGGACTTTGAGAATGCTGCGTATGTAGTATTTGTGGTCCTGCTTACCAGAGTGATCCTGTCTTACAAACTGGACTTCCTAATCCCTTTATCAAAGGTAAAAGCAGATAGTTTTAGCATTTATCACACATCACCATGAAAGGCAATAATATAATTTATTKTGTGCAGGTGTTAAATTTGTCTATTTGCAAAATATCTCATAAAACTGTGGCATTCAAGGAAGCAGGCAACATGCATTCTGTCAAGAAATGTTAGACCTTTAATTATAGTTATTCAGTTCTTACATGAGACACCTGATTCATAAAACATGTTTTTGTTAGGTTGATGAGAACATGAAGATGGCACAGAAGAGAAATGCCGTCATGGAGGGCATGTTTTACTTCAGGAAAGACATCTTTAAAGGTGAATTCAACAGAAAGTGGCACTGTGAGGTAAAGTTTAATTCAGACACATTTAACTTATTTGTCATTCTTGTCTACAGGCTGCAACCCGGTCCTTGACGGCGCTGCTTCTTCTTCTTCTTCTTCTGCTTCTGCTTCTGCTCAGAATGGCTTGGAGACTGGTTGTGGAAACGAGGAGTACACTTTGATGAGTATTGACACAATCATCAATGGAAAGGTGATTCATTTGATTTATTTTTACCTGTTTGGTTTTTCTTTGAAAGAAAAACTAGTTTCAATGTAGCATTCAGCGTCGGTTATCTGAAAAGAACATATTTAGTGACACCTAGTGGGGAAGTTACAGATTGCTACTCTTTGAGGTTCAGATTAATCAATTTGGGTGAGTTTGTGTATGGTTCATTCTTTGGTTTTTCTATTTCAAAATAAAATGAGAAAAAAAATAATTGTGTTTTTGCGATTTTGTTTTGAAAGAGAAAAACCAAATAAACGATATACAGACTTGGGTGTTTTTAAGGAAAACACCATTTATGTCTGAAGTATAAACAAAACTTTATTTTCGGTTTTCTTTGAATGCTTTTGATTAAGCAGTTTTTTTTTCTTTTTATTTCACAAGGAGGGAGTATTTCAGGGGCTTATCCCAATCCTTAACTGCTATTTGGAAAACATGGAAGTGGACGTGGACACCAGATGCACCATTTTGAATTATTTAAAGCTCATCAAGAAGCGTGCCTCAGGTAAACTATTATCAGGAACTAAGAGATTTTTGTTTTCTGATCGTGCATCATCATTTATAATCTTTTTGATGTGAACCAGGCGAACTGATGACCATGGCCAAGTGGATGAGGGAGTTTGTCTCAAAGCATCCAGAATATAAGCAGGACAGCGTCATAACCGACAAGATCAACTACGACCTGTTCAAGAAGTGTGACCGGATTGCAAAAGGCGAAGAGCAATGCCCCGAGCTTTTTGGGAACCCAGTTAACAGGGTGGAATAAGAGGTGCTACAGAAAGGCATTATCATTTTGTTTGTTTTTTATTAGCRTGTAAGACAAAGACCAAACGAAAGCGGTCCAATCATGAGAGAACGCAGCAGCTCGTGTGTGTTGTGAAGAAACACACCTGCATTGAATAAATGTACATACACCGGATGAGATTTTTATGATCACAGAATTATTTTAATAGGATGTATGAAAGGGTTACGTAATAGAAAATCAGATCTGTATTTATTTTTGTCTGAAAATAAAACATATCTGTGTGAAATTGTAAATGTAGCAGAGATGTACAGTAGGCTGCTTTTAATCTGTAAGTACTATACCTTCTGAGCTTTAAAACATTAACTTTTGCCTTTTGCTGAGAAGAACTTTCAAATTTGATTAAAATTCCTTTTTTTTTTTTTTCATTTAAGGAATGTTTGCTAACATTGTAGTGGGACCTTAACATTAGCGTTGCATTCATTTGGAAATAGTGAAACTGTTTCTAAAGTGATGCATTTTGAAAAATAAAACTGTAAAGATCACAAGGAATTTGTGTGATCGATGTGGCACAGTCCACATAAAAATGCATTCTCCAGCAAATGTTCAGAATATATATAACTTGTTTTAGTGACGTCCATGCTAGTTTTCTTTCCTGTATTCAGTTAACTGCCTCTTTGTGGGCTGGAAGAGAGAAAAAGTGCTGGCTGTGGATCGTTTCCAACACCTTGTTGAATCTGCAAAATCAAAAAAATGTTCAACCCAGCAAAGTTTAATTAATAAAGTGGCTGGTAATGAAACTGAACAAACCAACCTAGACCCAAATAAAACTTGATCTGGGTCTGAATCTGAACTTTATTCCAMCATTTGGGGACCTCTGATATAGACTTTTTCATTTTTTGGCCTTCAAAATAAAAGTTTCATAAAGTCTGACCATAGCTGATGAAGGAATACAGTTTTTCAAGAATTTTTGACCCAAAAAATAAAACATTAATTCGATAAATATTCTAAAACTTTATTGCAGTTTGAGGAGATCCGACCACAAGATGGTGGTATTGAAGCAGAAACCGATGCAGCACAGATGAGGGCATTACCTCAGCTTGGCCTCTTAGATAAGATAATGATTATTGTTTCTGCAGGCCTTTCTGCYCAACACAAAGCTCTGCAACTGTTGTTGCTTTGAGTACGAAACTGTTTTTCATTATTCATCCTCGCATAAAAAATGTAAATGTAATGAGCTACAAATAAAATAAAAATTATAATGTAGAGCAGAACTCAGCGTAATGTTAAAAACAGCCACCAGTGAAGTTCTTCCTCCTGTAAATGTCTGGCTGCATGTCTACCAACCACTTAAAAAGAACTTACAAAAAAGAAAACAGATGGAATCAATTAACTGTGAATCTATAATAAACATTGTTTTTGCAAACTGCTGAGCTGCAGTTTTGGGAAAAAAAAAAAACTTTCGCAGGTGCAAACTTACACCTGAACAGTCAGCAGTTTGCTCATTTTCACATTTACTTATTACATGCTGTAAAACTGTGCTGGTCTACTAAAATGTAAAAGAATTGCCTTTAAATGTTACTCTTTACGCTTGACATAAAGGTCATTTTACATTTTTATTTTGAGGGKTTTTTTTTTTAGCTTTTACCAAACATAGAATCAATTAGGACTAATTTTGCCCAATTTTAGTATAATTATTAAATTTTAGGTTCCTGTTGAGCTAATAGTGATGGGGGTGGGTGGGGCCTGATCAGACCACCGAAACTGACCAATTGGAGAAGACGAGCAGAATATAAAGGAAGAGGCCAGTTTCTTTTGTCACAGCAAGACGTCTCCAAGTAAACTGCTGCACAGAGCTTTTCTTTTCATAAAGCCTCTCGTTTTTAGAATCAAGTTTATACTTTGCATCAATTTGTATTTTATCTGTGCAAAATGAAAAAAGACAATTCTTTAAATTCATTTTAGCAGTGAAACATTTGCACTTATATGCATGTTATGAGCTGGTTAAAGTAAAACAGATTTATCTTTATGGGTCTGCAGTTATGTTCATRTTGTGTTCAATTAAGCTCTTAAAACAAATTAGTGAAAGTAATGTTTTTATGCAAAAAAAGAAAGAAAAAATCAAACAGGAAGTAAAATTCCAGACCCAAATCCAATCCACGCCTCCAAAACCACAGGTTTATTTCTGCTGTTTATTATGAATTTGTCATTGTTTTATAGCAAAATATGTATTTCAAATGCCATAAATACAATTAAAGAAACCACTCCTTTGCCATTACTGATTTTGTAAAGCTCCTCTGACAAAAAGAACAAACATTTCTAGTCATCTCTTCAAGTCCAAAAAAAAGTTTTTTATTTTTTTTATTTTTTACTGTTTTTAGCTGCATGTAAAAACAGTGAAGTGACGCTGCAACACTGCAGGATAACACTGGCATCATGATAATACTCAGACACCATAATCCCTATCAGCTCAGCAAGGGAGCATGCCAACGCATGGTTTGGAAACACAAAGTGCAGCTGGAGCTGACAAATCATCAGCAGCCACATCACACAGGCAAATATCACCCCGCAGGTCACTTTATCTCACTAATGTGTCCTGGAGACACAAAACGATGCAGGAAATACCTCGAAAGTAGGCTTTTAGTTCTTTGATGATAGAAATGAGCCACAACTAATGGCTTAAAACACTTTCAAATTGCACCATTCAATAGTTCAACTGTTTTATGTCGTGCGTCATAATTTGCAATGAGTAGCCATACCTTTAGGTTTAGTTTGTCACTAATGGAGTTAAATTTAATCAGTTTGTTACAAAGTCTGGGAGAGTTTTTGGCAGAACATTGATGAATCAGGTGGAAAATTTACAGCCGTTAAATAAACACGGAGATAAATAATTAAATTCTTAATGATTATTCATGAAAACTTCAGTAAAACCCATCAATTGGTTCGTGCCATATTTTGCTAACAGACAAACAAATAGGCAGACATGGTTAAAACATTTCCACTCTCGCCTTCGATAATGTTCTTCACTAATTTATAAATGCAAACCTTATTAAAAATACAAAACCCACGCTTTCATAAAATCTCATTATTTTTTTTCTTGTATTCAGCATTTTAGTTACACACATACACATATACATGCACACACACACACACACACATCTTGGCCAATAATCGCTTTAGATATGATTATTGGTATCTTTCATGTTTTCCTGGAAAACAAGAAGAAAGTGTTCTTGTCAAGCTGAGTGCTGGGGTGCAGGAATTTTGCATCTTTGAGTTGAGTTTACTGGAGTGGTGGGCGGGGCTTGATCAGGTCAGAGCAGCTGACCAATCAGAGCAGAGTGGGCTACATGGGGCCAGCTTAACTTTACAACCTAGTGCTTTATCAACCCTAAACATTTTATTGTTATTATGAAAGGTGGAAAAAAGATATATATCAGAACGTTTCTGCTGTTATTTATTGTTAGAAAACTGTATTCCCCTTCAATTGTTTAATAAAGAGCGAGCTTTTCAAAATAAAAGTCATTGTCGGCTCCCGCTACTTGTGTTGCCTTCACGTGCCGGAATCTGATGCCGTAAAATCGTAGCTCGAGTTGTACCGACGGAGAAAGGATGGCGTGATGTCATCCCATGTGTCATTGCGACACAGCAGGTCGTCTCCTGGTTATAACCCCTCCTGTCAGGGCAGCTGGCTGTTCCTCTGACCTCAGATCAGCCAGACAGCAGTCATTCTCCCCCCCCCACTCCCTCCCTCCCCTCCTCTTCATCGGTCCGCGGGACGCAGCTGCATCCTCCTCTTCTTCCTCCTCGAGCATTTCCTTCTCCGTCTCGTCCGCTCGAGCTCAGCCGGGAGACTTTAAGGTAAAAAAAAATGCTTTTTTAAAAAAACAATACTTCGTCTTGATGGTAAAGAAGTGAACTCCGCTGTTTTATTGCGGGAAGCTTGATGCCTTAAATAAGTTTCGTGAATCCGGTTGTTACGTAACGGTTTTTTGCCATCAGCAGAGCGAGGCTGTGGAAGAAAAGTTTTCAGTGTTTCTGCGTGATTCTGTTCACAGAAGTCTGTAACTTTACACACTTAACTCATCTGTACTGCGAGTTCTTTTAAAGGGACTTTTCCGAGCTCGTGAAGTGGGTTTCTGCAAAAGAGTAGCTAGTGTCTTACCTGTTGTGGATAGCCCTTTGAAATAGAGTTTAAAGTCATTATAGCTGTCAAAATTATGTTTTTTAAAGTGTTTTTGATTAGAATTTTTATTCTTGGGGGTTAATGCAACACAAACTGTTTAGGGTTTTTGCAAAAAAATAAAAAAAAATAGAAAATAAGTGTGTGTGTGTGTGTGTGTGTGTGTGTGTGTGTGTGTGTGTGTGTGTGTGTGTGTGTGTGTGTGTGTGTGTGTGTGTGAAAAAAGCCAAGACTTTATACATAACCAATAATTAATTACAGAAAAAAATGCCTTAAAAATTAACCCAACATTGCACCTTCTTGGTTGTAAAACTATTCATGCAATTTATGCAAATGCTGTTTTATAAATCTTTATATATATCTCATCAGTTTACATCATTACATRGTTATTCATATATAATTTTACTCTTATTTATAAGCACAGCTAACAGCAGCAGCAACTAGCTGTAACACTTTCTGTTCAGGTTGGGGGAATTTACTGCAGGAATATCATGATAGTTCTGCCCTGAGTCTTTTATTTATTTATTTATTTATTTATTTATTTATTTATTTATTTATTTATTTATTTATTTATTTATTTCCAAATATATGTCAGTGTAGAGCTATCTTCAACAGGTAAGATATTGATATAACATTTTTGTTACATTTCTACAGAAACCCACTTTGAAAGAACTAACAGAAATGATGTAAATAAMCTACTTGATACATTTCATGTTGTAGAGCTAGACTTACGGTTCCTAAGGTTTTCCAGTGAATCAAACTAAAWAATTTGCAAATTTTGTTTGAGAATTTGCGAAATATTCTGCATTAACATTTTGAGTCCTAGGAGAATTGTAATCCAGTTACAAGTTAGTAACTAAATTATCAGCTGCAGTGATGTCACGTTTACCAAAGTCCAGATGATCCAATGGTGTTATCTGATGATCTGGTGTTTTATGTTGGTTTGTGCTCCTGGGGAGACAATAGCAGACTGATTGATGATTGATGACATCATGTGGCTCATCGTACCTAATGCAMATTTAGTAATCAATCAGAGCGAGGACGTTACCGGACTGTAATCAGTTTTCTTTTTATGGGTGAATATAAATGTATTTTATRATTTTATGGATTTGCATGCAGACTGAAGTGAGATGCTGTAATGTTAAAGGAACAAGTAGAAGCATGCTTTTTTAATAACAGCGTATATTATTCAACTGTAACAATATAACTGCAGGGAGGTGAAATATAACCTTTCTTGTTTCACTGGATAAACCTGCATTCTAACATTCAAGAAGACATTAGTTTCCTTCATAAATCCTTTACGATTGTCTGAAAATACTAAAATGAAAATGGTTTCAGGTGTTCAGCTTACTTTAAAAATTCTCAGAAATCAATCTGTTTTAATATGATAGGGTCTGTGGGACAAAAACACACCTTTAAACTTTAAATCTAATAGAAATGCTTCAATCGATCTTTTTCTTTTTGCTTTTTAATTTTTTTCGTACAATAAAGAAAGACATAAGCGAGCCAAATAGTTATGATAATCAGGACTAATTTGCTCCTAAAATATTTTATCAAATCTTTTAGCCAGTACCTGTAGATAATAAATAGGATTTTACTGTTTCTTGACATGTTTCCAGCTGTGATTGGTGCTGCAGGCTGTGATGTAATTAACTGCTCTGGACGTTTACATTACTGGAAATAGTAAATAAAAAAACATATCTGATTTTGGAGGCTGTCAGGACCAACTTCTCTGTTTTTGCAAAGCTTGAAATAATTGAGCAAAGTCTAACAAAAACATCAGAGGTGTGCACATACCTCTGGAGTGATAAAGCTGAGAGCTATCAGATTTAGTAGGAAACGAAATGTTGGGACTTGTGTAATATTTGCTCGACAGTGTCAATAATCTTGTTACAACTTGACACAAGAAGTAAAAATCACTTGATTTAAGTCTCCGTTTTCCCAGAACCACGGAAAGGATAAAATGAGAAAGGGAGAGAATTTATGGAAATAGTTGCAGTTAATGTTACAATCATAATTTTAAATGAATCTAAAAAAAACTTCTTTTTTTAAAAACATCAAGGTGTAATTTTAATGTTATGTTTCTTACATGTTAACAAAACCTTTAAAAGGACTGATAAGGCACACTAAGAACACACTTAGCTTTATAACCTTAAATGGGAAAATATGGAGCTATAAATATCCAGACGTTTTGGGTTGCTGTAGCTCGGTGGTCAGTGGGTCTTGTAATACTGGAGCGATGAGCCTAAGGTGCATCAGAAAGGGCCTCTGGTGCAAAACTGTTGCTAAATTTTACATTTGAGTTTACTGTTTTGCTCAGATTACTTGAGGGTGATTCTCAGCTTATACTACAGCAAATTCTAGCCCAATACTTATAAAACTGACTGGGTTATAAATGCTCATCTGTGTGTTAAAATATGTCCCTAAAACATTTTCATTATTTAGCTCACTTTCTTAGTATTAAAAATGTTTCACTAACATTTTATTGTTATTTAGCTCACTTTCTTAGTATT